CCGCTGTGTGTGTGTGTGTATGTGTTAGAGGTTGGGGGAGAGTGTTCTATTACAGAAACTCAAAATGACATCAACTTACTTTCTGAATAAATCACTCTGGTAGGCTAGAACATCTCCAGCAATTGTATTTAAATTTCCATCACTGACTTTGACATCTACCGTTCTAAGATCTAAAATATTTCAAGTGTCCTTCGTTATCCTAGTCAAACAGAAACAACAGAAAAAAAAGTAAAAAAGAAAACAAAAAATTTGCTCCAAAAGGACCTGGAAATTACCTGCATTTAAATTTTCATTTTTTAAAGAGCAATGCACGGAGCTGATTTTCTTATGGTTGGTTAGTGGCAAGTTAGGACAAGAAAAGATGGCAACCGGGTACTACACAAGCCTTAGGCATCCTACCTTAAACAACTATGCCTTCCCAATCTTCTCAGGTCACTTCAGTATTAGTAACCATAATGTGTCTTCCTATAAATCAATGTTTACTTTAATATCTATTATCAGCTGAGGTAACCCAGCTGATAGGCCAAAAGGTTTGGTTTTTATCCCTTGCTCTGCCAGCAGCTGACTTTGTGAGCTTCAACAATAATAGGGTTTTTCCTTTTTGTTAGTTTGTTTTTTCAAAAAGCTGTATTTATTCCATTTGAAGAACGCTCATTTTTTATGGAAAAAAATGGTGATAATACAGTGATTTTTCAGACTGCTTAGAAAAGTAAACTGGTGACTTTGTCGGACTTTTCTTTTTCTCACTAATGTAATGTGACCTTTGCTAAAAAGTTAAGATATGGACAGGAGGAAATGGTTTGTCTGGATATGTATCTGTATCATTACACTTCTACCTAATTACAAAGCTTCCTCTTCCATCATACCATATTTTTTCTATCACTTACTCTTGAGGGTTCCTTTCTTCTTGTTGGTCCTGATCTTATCCTTGAAACAATTTCCTGTAACTAGTTCTCTGGACTGTGCTCATGGCTGTGCTCCAGGCAGGGCTTTGCCACTGCCCTGGTCTCCTCTAACCACATCACAGGTCATGTCCACATTCCCAGTCTCTCTCTAGGCCAGTCTATCCAACATACTCCTGACAAGACTCATGGTCCTGGAGCACAGCATTTATACTGCACTCCCCTCAGGTCAAAAACTTCAGTGTAATGTTAACCAAACACTTCAGAGGAAATGGAGCAGGCCAGCAGCTATAATGCTCTGTGACTTTGGGCAAGTGTCCAAACTTCTTTACCTCTACGTCATCACCTGTGAAATGAGGATACTCATAGTACCAATTAATAATAATAGAGAATATAAATCCATGTAAAGTGTTTAATGCAGGATTTGACACATAATAACTTAAAAGCCATTATTATGATCAACAACTTGCATTTGTAAGCTTTTCTTCCACTTCAGTCTTCTCCATCAGCTTCTGTGATCCAGGCTACCTTGTCTTTTGCAGGGATGCCATACTTGTTTGTTCTCCAGTCCCCTCTCTCCTAGAATGTACCTCCTATCTCCGCATGTCAACAAAGTTTCCTCTATGAAATGTAAGGTTAAATTAATATACCAATTAATTCTCTTTCATATAATACAGTCATATTGCTATTACATCCTCAGAGACTCTTGTAGCAGACTCTGTGACATCCCTCATGTCCACAGGCCCTTCCTGAAGGTATAGTAGCAATCAAGCAGGTAAGGTGAGGTTTAAATCTAGATCCTTAGTTCCTTAGATATGCATTGTTCTAGTTCAAGTAACTAGGGCCTAAAAAAGTCATCTCAAGGCCAAGGAACCTCTTTGGAAGGTGGTGTGAAGGGAAATTTCCATATGAGAATATTACTGGAGGGTACAGAAAGAGAGGCTATTGCTGGAAGTTATCCTTGCAAAATCAGTCTAAGGATATAATCAATATCTGATAGGATACCAGAGAAAACCCACAAGAATTCTGCCCTCAGGGCTTTTTTCAGAAACCAGGTGTTCTTGTAAAGCCTATCTGAGTTGTTTTTCTGACTCTTACACCTATAGCATCCTGGCCAGCAGTATTAATCACTGATAAGTCTAACATAGGTAACTCTGCCATAAGGCCTTCTCAGATACAGTTAAATGAGTTCCCAGAAATCTACTTTTGATTCCCTTTTGGTCCAACGTATCAATTAAGTATAGGTATAAAAGGATTAAAGCTAATTTGGAAAGCCCTCTAGAGTAAGTAGCTGTGTCATTCATCTTTGTATACAGCATCTCCCTCCAGCAAGCAAGTGCTCACATGCATGCACACAACAGTTATATAAGTGACACAGGGCCCCTCTGATCAAATAATCCTAGCAATACCAGAACAGATGGAGGAGAAGATAAACTGTAGGAGAAAAAGCTATGTGAACTTGGGCAAGCACTTGGCATGTCTAGGACTTAGTTGTGAGTTATTTAAAGAGGTGGATGGAAGATAAAAACTTCTCATAGGGATGTTCTAAGAATTGTGTATGGAAAACAACTGTTAACTTATGTGTTCATATCAGAATGTTTGAAACTGAAAGCATGTAAAGAAAAACTTATTAACGGGTACATAATGGAAAGGTTATTCATCAGTAAAAGTTTTGGTATGCAAAAAGGAGGAATTCAAAATTATAAAATTTCTTAGGAGGCAGAAGGATGTGGTAGGGAAATAAAGAAATAAAATAAACACTATTATCTACTTAGGCATCAAAGTTATCCTAAAAGAAGTAAACAGTTTTGCCTTGATTTGTATAATGATTTGGAAATAGGACACCCAAGAAGTTATACCTCTAGAAGCTGGAGGACAATCAATAAGAATGCTGATAGCAAAAGTGGAGAGAGTGGAAGGAAATTTCTTGCAAACATACAAAAATTAAGATTTCTACCAACAGAAAAAAGCCAAAAAACAAAAAAACTCTTGATCCTAGGGAATGACACTTTATAAAGTTAACTTTATAAAGATACTAGAATTAGTGCCTGTGAAGACCTACTTTTTGCACATTTTTCCAGTTACTTCAGATTCTCAAGCTTAATTCTTTGCCATCTTTTCTAAATTTCACTTTCCCTTCCCCAAGAAAAAAATGAAAGAGGAAACATTTATCAAACCATTATTTGGCAGATACCATCACACTGGACTCTTTTTGTTTTTGTACCATTTTTGAAACAAACACAAAACTTCACTTATAGACAAGGAAATCCAGTTAATGAGATGAGGACAGTGAAGTCATGAGGTACTTTTCTTGAAAATCTGGACAAATTTTGATGTGCTTTCTACTTGACTTTCAGCAAAGCTCTAGCCTATGGTCTGTAAAATGAGACATCTGCTATCAGTAACATTTTAACTTTGTCTTCAGTTAAAAATGGAAAAGAAAAGGCATTAGAGAAACTGAACAGGAAGTTCCTGGCAATAAGAAATATCTGAGGTAAATATCTTAAAAGGACTATGAATGACATTTCCCTTTCAAGTGCGGAGCTTTCCTAGAGGAATCCTAGGCAGTGTCTGAGCTGACTTGTCCTTTACAGCAGATGGGAAGTTAAGCGTTCCTCCATAGCCATCGACTGCAAAACCGACTGTGTTCTTATCTGCAGATTCTACACCAAACGCAGTGGGCTGAACCGTGCACGCAAAACAAGTGCAAACCAACAGGTTATCTGTCAAATAGGGAACGAGTTACAAAACCTAACGGCAATATTAGCTCTTCAGGCAAACTTCCTGCCACGAGTATGCCGTTAAAAAATTAAGGCTGATAAAGGATTTTGTTGTACAGTTTAAAAAAAAAAAATTAAGGCTGATCGCTCCCTACGAATCCCTGCCAAGCACCCCTGGGCTCTCCAGCCCTGCTCGGGAATCAAGCACTAGATTCTCCCAAGCCGGACCCCAAAAGTTGTACAAATACATTCTCCAAATATGCAGTCAAGAAGCCAGGAATGATAAAACCAGACACCACAACCCTTAAAGTGCCAAGAACGTGGAATGGTTTTAAGAGTTTAAAAGAATAATTCTGCTCCAGGTTTTACTATCTTCTCCCAGAGGTGGGCCAGCGGGGGTTGAGGGGGGCGGCAGGAGGGTGAGTCGTTAAGTCTGAAAACCCGTCAAAGGGCACTTTTCCTTACCAGCGCCACACGCGCGTCCCCCGGGCTCCCCCCAGCCGAGAGCTACTTCCGCGCAGCGCGCCTCCCGCCCAGCCAGCGGCTCCCGCCTCTCCCGCGCAGGGACTCCCCAAAGGGCCGCCCAGGTCGCTCCCGAGTTCCCGCCCCTCACTTTCCAACCGGCCTCACCCCTCTCCAAGTACCTAGGGCTGCAGTTGTCTGGTTTTAATAAAGCCCGAAGTGGTCCCGAGCTAGCGGGAGGGGGCGGGCGGGGGGGCGGGCGGGGGGGGGCGGGGAGGGACAGAGAAAAAGAAAAGGCCGGAGGATCCCCGCTCTGCGAGCCCCGCACGGGACGAAGGCGGGAGCCGACTCTACTCGCGACCCCGCTGAGGTTCTCCGAACTTACCCAGGTTTTGTTCTCCCCCAAAGAAAACACTCCTCAGAAGGTGCTTCCCCAGACCGCACAAACAGCCAGTTCATCCCCACAGGGCGACTGACCAGAGCGCACAAACCCATCGACCCATCCCGCTGCTTCTCTGGGTACAGTGTGTGTCCCCGGAGTGCCTGTCAACGTGCAAAAGTGCCCCCCAGCTGCTTCCACAAGCCGAACAGGTGCGACCGCATCGCGAGGGAAACTCCCGAGGCGACCAACCTCAGCCTCGGCAACGGGGGCAGCCGCCTCGCGCCTGCTGCTCTCCCCGCGCCGGCCGTCCCTGCCCGGGAAGCCAGGCTGGTCCCCCGTAGCCGGCCGGGCTAGCAGCCCCAAGACACGCGGGGTTGGGGAGGCGGTGGGGCGCAGCGGGCCTCGCGGCAGTTATTTGCATCGGTGTCGGAACCTCACGACGGTTCGCAGTCCTCGCGTCCCGGCGGCGCGCTCAGCCGGGTGTCATGGCCGAGAGGCGGCCCCCGGAGAAGTTTCTCGGAGCTGACGACTTACCTCCTATCCCAAAGGGCGGCAGCAGCTTTGAGAAGAGGCGAGGCGGCAGCCGGAGTGCCAGTGACCACTCGCGGCGGAGCAAGATGTGGGAGCGACGCTCGGATAACGAGGCACAGCGGAGCTGGGAAGAGGAAGGCGCTGGGTATCTACAATCAGAACGTGGGCTGACCGTGACGTCACAATGGCGCGGCCAGCCAATCGCCGCCCGAAGGATGAATCAAGCGCTATGATGTCATGCGGTCCCGGAGCCAATTGCGAGACAATAGAACTTTCGTGATTGTAAATTCCAGAATCCGATGCAGAGGGGAGCCGAAGATCGGGTTGGCCCCGTCTGGTTCACGTGTCTCTGGGCAATTTTATCCCCTTTCTTCCTAATAAGCCTGCGTGGAACGCAGAGCCTGCGCAATAGCGGTGCTGAAGTTCCCGATGCCAGGCGTGACAGGGTTGCATGGCCGCGTTTAGACGGCAGGAGCCCACTCCAGCTGCCCACGCTGGTGGCCCGCTCCTCACCGGTTCTGGGAGGGATCCAGTTCACTTAGGTTTTAGCTGAAAGGGTTAAATGCCCCCTTGGGGTCACCGGAACGGAGGTCTGTGTTGAAGGCAACAATCATAAAAACAATCAAAACTGACGGTATAGCTAACTCCGTTGTGTGGGATTTATCAGTGATAGGAGGGCGGGGCGGGGGGGGGGAGGGACGGTGGACGGGAGACTTCAGATTTTATCTTAGAGATTGCGCCCAACTCCATTTCTACTCCAGAAATTATCCTAAAGACTTGTCTTAAGCACTTATGACAAAGTTCTTCACGGTCAAGATCCTTGCTGTTTTTCATATTTAGATAACTTAAGACTTTCACATTGTCCTAGGCTTTCCCAGTATTAAGCTCTGAAGTTAAGCCTCTCTGCTTGTACCTTTTTGCTTTATATCTGCTATTCCATGTCTATCTACCAAACTCAGTTCAACCATTTAATGTAGGCAGATTATTTCTTTTGCATATTTACAGTATAATGATCATCATATGCCCACTGAGTTCCAGGCACTGTGCCACTGCAGGAGGAATACAGAAACACAAGGAAATAAATACAAATTAGGTAATTTAAATACACACAAATAAATGAGATTTTTAACAACCAGGTGTCATTCCACAAACTGTAAGACACTGTGCTAGGTTTTAAGAATAAAAAAATTCCAAGAGTCCCCACACTGGTAAAATGATACTGTCAGGAAATAACCACAATGCAGAATGGCAAATGCTACAATGGACACCAAGATAAAAGTATACTCTAGAGGAAGAGTTTGGCAATGTTCTCTCCTTTGTTCTCCATCCTTTTGCCAGTTCCTGAAGGCCAGAGCTGTTTCTGCTGTTTGTCATGCTGAGCTCTACCTTTTTAGGTTTTTCAATTTTGAAATTACAGTTGATATTCAAAAATTCACAAATTTTACATAGCAAGTGATTTTTTTTATTGTGCTCACCTATCAATAAGATGGTTAAAGCTTATACTACAAAACATTTGGATTTATTTTAAATTATGGACTCACACATTTAATATTATATATATGTTATCACACATTTAATATTAAATAATTTTTTCATATTTGAAAGTAAAAATGAATATAATATGCTAATATTCTATTCCTTTTCCCCAAAGGATGTGTTTTCAAATCCTCCTTGACAGATGGTGCCTAGTCTGTGTATCATGGCTCCATTGTAGCATTTACCACTACACTAAAGTTGTCTCTAAACTATCTTGTTCCATCAATGGGGTGCTTGTATTTTAAAGACCTGTGCTTTAATTATAAACTCCATTGCCAGAGGAAATGTTGCATTTTGTTCATTGCTTCTGCAGATCTTACATAGTCCCTGGGATAAGAGTTCAGTAAATATGTTTTGAATTCTTACTCCCACTCACCATCACTGTCATCACCCTGATGCTTCCATTTTCAATTTCAGCATACCAACTATCAGGTTGTCATCCTAGGTCTGTTAATGCCTTTCAGATATATACCTTAGTGAGACCATGTTCTCATGCTTCCTCCAGTCAGAGACTTAGAATTCCCAATACATAAATGACTTAGGAGGAACTCCCTCTCAATACACATGCATAAGAATTCCTAGGATTCAATGGTAATATTCAAGGAAAATATTTTAGTTAGCATTAGAATCAAATTTCTGACAAATCTGGCTGATGGGGAACCATCCCAACAGTAAAACCAACCTCAGGAATGAGCCCATGTACAGTGCAGTAACAAAACCCTGTATATTCTTGTTTCTTTATAGCATTAATATGGTAGTGTTCCAAGAAGTTATTATTGTATTATCATTTCTCTTATTCTCTTCTTCTTCTTTTACTTAATTTATTCTTAACCTCTGCTGCCATGTTTCCTTCTGCTTTTGTTTTCATCAGTAGGCCCAAATCTCCTCCAATTAAAACAGGTACTTAACTTCCAAGTGTAGTTGGAGATTATTTTGAGACATATTTAATATCATGGGATATTTGTTCTAATGTTATAGCATCTGCAGTTAAATTAAGAAACACCCCTGAACCTCTGGCTCCATCAATGGGGTGCTTGTATTTTAAAGACCTGTGCTTTAAAATACAAGCAGTTTCTATGCATAAAAAAAATAAAATAGATAGATAAAAAATAGATAAGTAAATAAATAAAAAAATAGATAAGTAAATAAATAAATAAATCCTCTTAAAAAATACTTTTCCTTAAAAAAATAATACCATTTAGCAACTTTCCTGCCCCCCATGACTATGCAGTTGCCTATTTTTCTTTGTCCCTTTCCTAATAAACCTGTCCTTTTAAAATAGAAAATAAAGTTTCATTAGAATACAATTTTAATTAGTGAGACTTGCTTCAGTTAAGGATGAACTACTAATCTATATCTGCTGAAGAGATATGTGCATGACAAAATGAAACCTGTATTTTAAAATAAGATACAACTCTATGTCTACTTCTAGGCATTGAAAGGCTGACTAAAATATAGGCCAAATGTAAGGTAGTTTATGCTAAGGACTCCACTATGCATTATTGACATACTCATATTACTTTATTTCTTCTAATTTGTATTTTCTGTTACTTTGTTGCCAGAAGGTTTCATTTGCCTGGCTTGTCTTTGCTACACACAGCTAGAAATTAAAGCAGTTCTATCTCCCCTGGATTTTTGGAGTCATCCCACAGTTCCACCATAACATTTTTGCTACTTCTCTTCCTTCTATTCAACAAAATGTACTGCAGTTTATCTCTAGGTCCTGTCCTCTGTGTTCATCTTGATGAATGTAAACTACTTGAAGGACTGTGGCTTGTCTGCCAAGTTGTTTTCTCAGGGACTAGCAGGACCTCCGGCAAACAGAAGATGCTTATATATATGTCTGCTGTATGACTGAACTATTTCTGGATTCTCTAGTCTTTTCTTTTCTATTTCCATTGACAGTCTTTAGTACTATATCCAGGCAGGACTAGGTAATGAAAAGAGCTGAGGAACAGCTCTCTCTAAATTTACTTCCAAAGTAATAATATCATCCCCTTTTGTAGCTTTGGATTCCATCTATGGTGTGCTGACTCCTAGTTGTATTTCTCTAGGCCAAACCTTTTCCTTGCACTCAGACTCATATATTCAATTCCTTACTAATGACTTCTTTCAAACGGGCATCTCAAACTGAAAATTAAAAATGAACCCTTGATTTCCCAAATCTGCTCTCCTATGGTCTTTCCAAGATTTATAAATGACCACTCCATTTATCCAGTTTCTTTTTTTTTTTTTTTAAGATTTGTATATTGGGCCCTTTCTGGTGGTGCAATGGTTTAAAGTGCACTATGAAGCAATCCACAGCCACTGCTAAATGAGTTCCATCCCTGGCCAGGGCCAGGGAGGTGACCCGCATGGCATGGCAGACCTCTCCTGATCTGCCTACTGCTCCCTTCAGAAGTGTATTTCAGTTGATCTACCTGTTCTGCTCCCCACTCTGTCTTTGGTGAATTTTCTCACTCTCTGTACCTCTAGCCTGCACCCCAGTTCTTATATGCATAAATAAAGCAATCTTTAAAAAAAATTTAAAAAAATTTATTTATGTATACAAGAACTGGGGTGCAGGCCAGAGTTGCCAGAGTGAAGTAAGAGGCTCCACCAGAGAGAGAGGGGAGCAGAACAGGCGGGTGTACTGAAATAAACTACTGAGGGGAACAATGGAGAGTAAAGAGAGGTCTACTGCACCATATGGGTCAGCTCCTGGCCAGGGAATAACCTCATGCTGTAGTGGCTGAGGATAGCTTAATAGTGTTGTACTTTAACTTATTGCAGCGCCATGGGAGGGCCCCCATTCATTCAGTTTCTTAAGCCAAATAGTAGAAGTTGTATTTAGTTCCCTGCTTTCTCTTATGGCCTATAAGCTCGCATCAGCCAAATCCTGCCTACTAGATCTTCAAAACATATCCAAAATCTATTTTCTTTTCACTCCTCTTACTGCTACCAGTTTAAATTACTATCAACTGTTGCAGCTTAAATTACTATCAACTGTTGCAAAACCTTCTAATTGGCCTAGCTATTAGGACTAGACTGATACTCTCCTCTCAACCCAGCAGCCTAAGTGAACCTCTTAAAAACAAAACTAGATCATTTTACTTGTCTCCTTGTCTTCTACACAGTGGAGTCCTTCTTAAACCTTGAGCATATTTATCACTAGACTGCCTCAAGGACTTTACACTGACTCTTCTTTTGTTAGAAACCTCCAAGAGTTAACACCCTTGCTTCATTCTGAGCTCCAGAAATTTCTTCTTCTTCTTAAGAAATTCATTATGAATTTACATTACCCTTTCGCCTCCCACATGCTAGAACCCTTCTCTGTTTTATATTTTCTCCTTAGCATTTACCACTGCCAGCCTTACTTTTACTTACTAAGTAAGTGACTTACTAAGTTTACTTTTTATACATGCTCATCTCCTTCTCTCTCCACACCCATAAATTTTCTGAGGGTAAAAATGTTTTTGTTTACCTCTGTATATAATCCCACCACTTGGAACATGGCCTGGAATCTGGTAGGAGCTTGCTATTCATCCTGTTGATTAATGAACAAATAAATGAATGGAAAATCAAAATAAAACCAGCAAGATATGCTTTTCCTAGGCACAATTAATCCTAAAAGAAAGAAAA